CAGGTACGTTTATCTTTGTAAACCCCTTCTCTCCGAGTACAATCTGAATCATTATAGATCTTGGGCTGGGCAGGTTTTGTCAAGGTCGATGGCACAGCATATGTATGGCTGGGTGCCCCTAGCGTTCCCGGTGCTACCTTCTCGAAGGCGACCCAGAAGAGTTTCAAGTTTACTGCAACTCAAAGCACTTTTGTTCTCTCAGCCGGCCCAGTCGATCTAACGGTCAATTTCCTTAGCCCCGTCGAGCCTACAGACCTTGTCAAGCAGTCTACCCCCTTCTCATATCTATCCGTGTCCTCGTCTTCCACAGATGGACGCGCTCATTCAGTTCAGATCTACTCTGACATCAGTGCAGAATGGGTCTCTGGAGACAACGGGCTGGTGGCTAACTGGAACACTTCGACGGGCTCAATCTTGACGCATCAAGTTCAACTGTCTTCTCCAACCCGATACGGAGAAGTTAACGACCATACGCAGTGTAAGCGTAACGTGTTTTTTTTTACTCCCGTTAATGCCTCATATACCCTTCTTCAGACGGGTCTGCCTTCTACTCCACTCCCAATGTATGTCTTCAGTGGTTATTCCACCATGATTCTCACACTCTTTGCAACTAGACCGCTGGGGCAACCTTCCAAACAGGGGCTGACGTGACTGTGCGTGCGCAGTTTATTCAAAACGGTCGGCTTCCCAACACCCAAGACACCAATTTCCGAGCGATCAACAACAACTGGCCTGTTTTCGGTCTTGCGCATGATCTTGGTAGCGTTACGAGCGGCAGCGTTCTTTTCACTGTTGGCCATGTCCGTGACCCAGCTATCCAATATATAGTCAAAGGAGGCGCCTTGCAAGATAGGAGTCTGTTCTTCTGGAGCCAGTTCAATACAGCCGCAAATCTCATCACCTCCTTCATCAACGACTTCTCGAATGCTCTTTCTCGTGCGAATGCCTTCGACACCAAGGTCAATAATGATGCGAACAGGGTTTCGGCAGATTATGCTTCCATAGTCTCTTTGTCAATCAGACAGTCCTTAGGCGCCAACGAAATCACTATTGCGAGGAACAGTGACGGATCGTGGAATACTGGTGATGTAATTGTGTTCATGAAAGAAATTTCTAGCGACGGGGTGAGCTTTTCTTCGTTGCATACGAGTGACATCTCTCCAAGTTCGTCTTTCTAGAACACGAATACAGTCGACGTCATATTCCCTGCTTGGCCCATTTTCCTCTATACCAATCCACAACTAGGCAAATTCCTTCTCGAGGGAATACTCAGATATCAGGCCAGCGGGTTGTACCCCAACAAATGGAGTGTTCACGATATTGGTTCAAGTTACCCTAAAGCTATTGGCCATAATGATGGAAGAGACGAGGCGATGCCTGTTGAAGGTGCGTTGCGCGGTCCTTTAATAAGTAGACTAATAGTCGCTCATCTCGTGCGAGCAGAGAGCGGAAACATGGTCATCATGGCGTTGAGCTACGCTCAAAAGACTGGCGATAACTCTCAATTAACTACTTATGTGAGAACTATCATAGTTCACCCTCAGTTTAGCTGACGAGTCAAGAAATTTATGACAAACAGCGTGCTCTACTCGCACAATTCACCGATTTTCTCGTCACGGACTCTCTTATTCCTGCCAACCAGATTAGCACTGACGACTTCGCTGGACCGCTCGCTAACCAAACCAATTTGGCTATCAAAGGAATTGTCGGTATTGGAGCGATGGCGGAGATTTCTAGAAGGCTTGGAGATACCGCTGCTGCGAACAATTATAGTGTGCGTACTCGATTCCATCTTGTGATATTTGCAATGGGACGGATCTGATTTCCTTTCCTTATTCGCCTCTAGTCCATTGCTGCTGATTATGTCAACCGATGGCAAGAATTCGCAAAGTCGAAGACGGGGGCACATTTGACTTTGGCTGTGAGTGCATCCTACTCCCTCTGACGCCATGGCTTTGTCTCATACGCTCTCCTCAAGTATAACAACGATGCCAGCTGGGGCTTGTCATACAACCTTTTTGCTGACAAACTCCTCAAGCTGAACTTATTCCCTCAGTCTATCTATGACTTGCAGACGGCATGGTATAATACTGTCACGCAACAGTTTGGTGTACCGCTAGATACTCGGTGGGGAACGATCTTATATATTCTTCCTCAAACTCTGACTGAATACATATCTTACCGCTCAGCCACACATACACCAAATCCGATTGGGAAATCTTTACCGCTGGGCTTGTCACTTCTACCAGCACCCGAGATTTGTTTATATCGCGGGTTCGTAGCTATGCCGCGAGTGGCAAAAATAATGTACCTCTTAGTGACTGGTATGAAACGACGAACGGGGCTTCGCAAGGTTTCAGAGCTAGACCCGTTGTCGGTGGACACTGTGAGTGATTCTCCTCTTTTTCCCCTTATATAAGTGCTCAACGGTTGTTTTCAGTGGCCCTTTTGGTTTTATAGTGGATTCTCTCGTGTAAATTGTACATGAACGAACATGTAAAACAATGTGGATTATCCGGCGATCTTTTTACCCACCACTGACCCCGGAAAGTTTTGATCCTTCCCTCGTAGAGAAAAAACCCCTCTTTTTTCATGTCAAGTGTGTCGACTGACTCACCAGGATGGTATGATGGTTTACAACCTCCTTTCGCGTTCTTCGATCAGCTACTTGAGCTGATGGCATTATTGCTCGTGGTCCAAATTCAAGCTCTCGATTAGACCGCCACACCGTTCAACCTTCCTTCAATAGCTCGAACTCCGTGACCTCTTGGTTCCCGCAAGGCCGCTCTGAATGGCGTCTGGCCGGTTACCCTTTTTTTCGTACGGGTACAGTGGCGTCAATGGTTCTTTAATATGGTGGAGCTGCTCTTTTGAGGAAATTTTATATTCAATGTGAAGTAGTGGCGGTAATACAACCAAAGCCCCCAATGGACCGTGGGACTTGGAGCGTATATATAATTATAACGCGCCGAACAGCTCGCGAACAACCGAAATGTCAAAACGTCGACGTGGAAGTATTCACGCTTTGACGATTTCAGAACACTCAGGGCTCTGAACATGTCCCTTCCCCGCCCGTCCACAATTTCTACATTGCAAAACAAGCGCTCTTTCACAGGCCACCATGCCCTCCTTCCATCTTCCCAACCCCCTTCTCCGACTCATGCATTTCAAGTTAATACAAAGAATCTATTAATCGCGCCTGTAAAATGGACTTTTGGTCGCGGAAGCGTCATATGGAGAATTTGGCCGGCTGTTTTGTTACATACTGGGTTTGCTGCTCGTAAGCTTATTCTCATATTGAATATTCATAACTGACATACTTATTCTCTACTGCCTCGATATGTCCATGCAGTCATCGTATATTTCAAAATTGTCCACCATCTCGATGCGTTAGCAATTCCGAACGTGATGTTGACGGTTTTGGGTGTTGTTATTGGTTTTGTGATTAGTTATCGGGCGATGAGTGGGTGAGTAAATTGCTCTCGGACTGTGATACCACTGACACCTTTCTCCCCAGATATGACCGCTATTGGATGGGCCGAAGTGCATGGACAGACATTATCCGTACTTGTCGAACTATGGCGCGTCTTATATGGGTCCACGTACCTCCAAAATCATCAACGACGAAGAAAGAAGGTATCGAGCGCGACATCGAGATCGAAAAGGTGATGGAGGAGAAGAAGTTGGCATTGGATTTAGTCGAAGGGTTCGTTTCGAATCTTCTCTCCCTATTTAAACCCATGTGTATCATTTCTTCTCTTTGTAGGTTCACGATCGCGCTAAAACACTATCTCCGTGGAGAACCTGGGATCTATTACGAGGACTTGTATGAATTAGTGAAGCCACTTCATGAACATGAGCATTCGCGTCATACCACCGATGTCGCACAAGGGAAATCCAGCGCACTACTACTACCGACCATTGAACCCTTCTCGCCCGAGGCTTCAACCTCTTTTGACCCAGGCCCACACAGTGACCTTACAAACGGAATCGAAACACAAACGCACGACCCATTTATCCCACCCATCAACACCTATGGAACCTTCAGCCCCTTCAATCTCCAACCACGAAGAAATCGCTCAACGATCTCGGTTGTAACGCAGCCACTGATGCCTGCACAAGCCCCCCCTCCGAATACGACCACGCGGATTGAAAGGGGGTTGATACCGTTTGCGGGCGTTTTTGCAGAAGTGCGGGCGTGGATGCGGCGGTCGAAAAAGGTAGATTTCTCTTGTTCGAGTTAGGAATAATCGCCAACTTCCTCCAACTAGAACCACGACAACGACAGCGACGCTAGCGATTTACTCCCTCACAGAACTCACAGCGTCCACATCATCTCCCTAGGGAAACACCGACTACAACCAAAAGAAAATCTCCCCTGGGAGATCCTTCGTTGCTTAAGTGAATGGCTCAGCGTCCTCGAAGAACGTGGCACTGTCCCTGGTACTTCCCTCGGTGGACTCTTTTCATCTATCTCGTCCTTGGAAGATTCCTTGGGTATCTTGGAAAAAATTTTAACAACTCCGCTACCTTTTGTATACTCCGTGCACATTCGACATACGGTGTGGATCTATTTGTTCTTTTTACCATTTCAGCTCGTTAAGGATTTTGGATGGTATACGATTCTTGGAGTGGGGATTGCAGCGTTTATTTATCTAGGGTTTTTAGCTGCTGGGGAGGAGATTGAACAGCCTTTTGGTGGGTTTACCTCCCTTTTATTCTTTGCTTCGTTACCCATTCGAATTAACTCAACCGCCTCTGGCAGGCTACGACGAAAATGACCTCGAGTTGGACATGTACTGCAAGGATATTGTACATGTTGACATTGAGAATTTGAAGAGGAGTGTTTGTTTGAATGCTCCTACTACATCTGGGATTGGGAGGTAAGATGTTGGGGGCTAGTTAGATCGCGAAGAATCAAGATAGGGCTCGTTTTGTGGGAGGTTAGCTAGTGAACTGCTCTGTCGATGAATATGCAACAGCAGCGTTCAATTAAGTAAGTCACTTTGCCGGAGTGGTTAACGGGATCGCCTGCTAGAAGCATGACGTAAGTAAGCTTACGTAAGCGGTTGCTCTTTGAGCGCGTGTGTTCGAATCGCACAGGTGACGTTTTTTCTTGTCCTCGAAGATGTATAGCTTCAGGAGCACTGAGAATTATCTGTTATGCAGCGGAATAGTAGATGGTCTGGATTTCGATGACTATAAGTGGATCAATCATTTTGACTGAAGGGGAGCTTTATCCGAGCCATTCACAAAGCGGGAGAAATACGGTATATTCCAGCAAGTACTGCCATTCCAAGTCGTGAAACTTGAGATTCTTGTTACCTGTGCGATTCGAACACACGGGCATGCACGTCGGAGGTAAATGACCGTCGGGTACTGCAGCCACGTTACTCATAAAGTCCCAATTAAGCCTTCTAAGGACTGTGGCCATGTGTGAGTACCCTTTCTTACTTTTAGTTCGGATTGAGGAGTACGGGTCTGGATCGGGGGTGCACCCCAAGGCGATAACTATCCGAACCAAGAGAGAGGACATTGAAAAAGCGATTCATTTCGATCGATGGCTATATTCGTAAGATTGAGTTGACTAACCTATGATACCTAAACTACCAAGCAGGGGATAAACGTTCAAGAAATACAGTAGAGTATACTACACGGGTGGGACATTTTGTACAATGAAGGGCGAAAAGGATTAATTTTGGCAGAGGGTAAGGTAAAAAAAATGTGGGTGGTGATGTGGCGGTGTCTGTTGCCTGTTCACAGCAATGAGTGAAGAAATTTACATATAGGAGATGCAAAGACATACGTGGTGGCTGAGATCACCGCACAGCAGTAGAAGATCTCCTAAACGACATGAAGCGAGCACATGTCATGGGAGAAGCAACGACGGTAGAGGACTTTTTCGATGGATGTTCTGACAATGTCCTAGACCTTTTTTGGGATGGGGGTGGCGGTAAATTGAGTTTGGGTGCGACAGGCTGCGTGAGCAAGAAGGCCGGAATAGGTGGTACGGGAGGAGGAGGAGCGGCCAAGGTAGGAGATGGTGGGGGAGAGCGGTATGGTATCGCGGATGAAAGGCCCGGGGAACGTGGACTATGTCGCTTAGAACGTTGAGAACGCGGACTTGATGAGATTTTGTCGACGCGTAAATCCGTACAACTTTTAGATTTCCTCTGTACGCGTGGTGGTAGAGGTAAGCTGGGATATTGTAGAGGAGGAGTAGCGACTCTTGGAGGAGGAGATGGTGGTCGTGCAAAGATGGACATGGCTGGTTCATCGTGAAAAATTCGGTGACGTTTATAAATCGAGGAAAGCAGATTAATGGATTTCCTTTTTTATTGTCGACATGATGCCTTGACAACAATCTTGTTATGTAAGCTTACATGTTCCGCTCATTTCGGTTTTAGGATCTCCAACGGTGCCGAAGTTTAGCCCGTAAAAGGCACCGACAATCGGAAGCCAGACGAGGCGGTTCCCATTCTTGGCTATTCGGCGACTCGGATGTTTAGGTTGGACTGACATGACGCGCCGCAACCTTAACACGACGCGAGACAAGTCGGAATCGAGGACAGGAGGATTGTACTCGCGGCGCCCAAATTAGTCTTATCTGTTGCTGCGGGACGATTATCGCTTATTTGATATTGGCAACGCAAGCATATTTGCAAAATGAAGAGTTTCGGGCTCCGAAAATACGCAGCAAAGGACTCCGAGAAATCTCATCGCCCTGGAAGATATGTTTACTCGTCCAATTTTGGTCCCTCCAGCAAGGGCGTTTGCCACAACGTCTGCCCCTCTCATCATCGACACACGTGGTATGTCGTTCTGATCAATCTTAAAGTCAAAAATCTCGTCCTGGGTCCTGACCGAGGGTCGATCTCACCTACGGATTCTAAACCTTTCAACGGAATTTACGATACCAGCTATTACCCCAAGGTCCAATATGACACGAGCAGGATCTGCCCTGTCTTCCGATTCGCATCCCTTTCCAAAGTGCTGTCAATTTCGAAGCCCACAGTAATTCCATTGCAAGGTCACTCTACAGTTCAACCTTCAATTGAACTCGCCTTGCCCGGAATCCCGTCCGAGTCCTGAACTTCTAGTCTAGCTGCCGCTTCAATTTCAACCGCCAGTCTTCAAATGATGGTCTGGAAACTACTCCGAGTTTTATCTTCAAACTCATTGTCACTCAGCCGATTAGTGCGAGGTACATTGGCGTTAGGAAAGGGACGTTTCCCGCAGGCTATGCGGTACACCGTGTCCATTGACAGGAGATTGCCATTCGCCACTCCACACTGACTGGCAGACTCGTGACCGTCCCCATTCCAGGAGTAGGTACCAGAGTCATTCCGATAAGCTGTTCGTCCCAAGTTTTATTTTCGATTGTTTAGCCTCTCAAGCTGTTGTTCCACAGGGCCGCAGAGCTGGCTAATCATGGGCCCGTCTTGAACTTGGTCAGAGGATCTACGGCTTCGGATCTCCTACATACCGTCTGCCGTTCGGGCTACTTAGATTCAGTTGTACCGACTCGGACTAGGTCAGAGGCACCGATAATTCTTGGAGATTCTTATTTGTTGCCCGCCCAGTCTGTTAGTGATGCCTGCCTTGGAGGCTACGGTCGAAATAATAGTCCGAACGGCTAAACAAGGTAATCCCGCTGAATAACGTATGTGAATGACCGGGACGAGACACAACTTTGGCATTTTAGAGCCCGTATCCGTAATAAAATCTCGAAACTCTACTAGAGCGCCCCGTGCTGTACGGCCCCGTAACACTGTCGAACGTTGGCTGGAGTTTGAAGGGGGAGGGGCTCACTAAGTTTTGCCTTGTGTAGGTCCAAGTTGTGCATATATTCGCGTACCTACAGCACTTGACCAGGCCTTCAGAGCCATCTCAACACCGCAAAGATATCTTGCATGATCGGTGAATTTACCAAGGTCTCCTGGAAGGTTGGTAAGAGCCGCTAAGATGCACGGTCCTGAGTCCCGACTCCCGGCTATCCTTCCCGCCCCGCCCCGCCTTCAATAGCATGAACCTGCATCCCTTGTAAGGATGCAGAAGCAGACATCGGCCCACCAGTAGGACATCCCACCCACCTTTCTCCAGCGTCCCGATTTGCAAGGCCTCGCCGTCGTTATCGAGTCTCAGGTCGGGCCCGTTTTGGCCATCCATCTCATAAGAGTTGAAACTGTTGGATGAGGTGACCGGAAATCGCCCATATTGCTAGGGTAGGGTCGAATCTTAATCTGATTCATGAAGATGTTACGCACTATCCGGGGGGACGGGGACTCAGAGTACTTCAATGACTTTTTTTCCAAGAAAATTCTTGACAAGTCCGCGACGACCACGGTCAACGACGCCGTATGGATGTCCTTACCCCTGTCATTTCTGTTTCAAAATTACTGCAGGCATAGGTTGAAATCGCTCTTAACGGCCAGACAAAGAATTTGCGCCATGTGAATGTGTGAAATGACCGCCGCTGAGTTATCGTAAATATATTGAATTTATCAAAATCATCGCCGCACCTTTTTGCAAATGTCTTGAATGTCGCGATAACCTCGACGACTGTGGCAATTCAACCGTTCAATTGCGAACAATAGCGAGTAACGAAATCATTCAAGCCGGAACGCCGATAGTCGTTGGCTGATTGAAGGTAAAATATTCAAAAAAGACAAAAATCTGATAAATTGACAGAAATATATATGCATGTGGCGTGTCCTTGTCTGAGTCGAGTCGGTGAAATCACATCCCCGCTGTCCTTTCGAATGAACGTTTTGTGCGGTATTGCTGCATATTCATCAACAAAACCAATCGGGGAAAAAATTGAAAGAGAGCTAACCTACGAATCCTCTGGAATCTAGATCCAACCCACTACCTACCTTCTGATCACTGTTCCCGCAAGCTTCCACCTCGAACTCGTCAGCTAGATTGCTTAAGTCTTCAATCTCTTCTGAGTCCTTCATGATGGAAGTATTTCCAGAGAGTTTTAGCGAGGTTGTTCGATGAAGACGAGTATTGGGAAGATGCTAGACCTCGCTGGTCCTGTGTGAGATATCTCCCAGGAGGAATTGTCAAAAGGCTCCGCTCAAGTTTCTAGTTCGATTGCGACCTGAGAGGGTTTTGATATTGATGTCTCGAGAAACTCAAGGTAAGAAAATTCAGCGGTCTTGCCGGAGCTTTTCCTTGTAAGTCCGACTATTGTATTCATATGGTTGTCACTGATAAATCCCAAATGATTTTGACTTCTTAATGGAATAGATGGACGAACACTAACAAGAACTATATTACCTGGCAAGTTCCATGGTCCACATTAGCTTGACGCCACACTTTTTGAAGTTGGCCTGAAAGTTCTCGGAAACGGGCGATGCGAGGAGGAGCTTGCCTTACGTCATCACGCCTCTACAGCGGAGCCACGGCAAATTTCATCTGAACCTGCCCAGGAACTTCCCCTCAACATTCACCGTCAGATCGCGACGAACTACTCTGAAAAACCTCAGGATCCGGTCTTCGCGAATCGAATTCTATTGCCCCAACGTGTGGTTGCCCTTCTATTCGCCGAGTGCTGTGTATAGAATCAAGCCCGGAAAATGGATCTCCCTACCACTCGAGAACTAGAGCTGGAGGTCTTGCTTCGCGAGAAGGAGAAGCAGATTGCGGAACTTGGCGTACGTCTTTTACTCCTTTCCTTTTCCAGTCCACACGACCTGAACTGACTGATTCGTGCAGGACCAAGTAGCTCGCCTTCAACAGTACTTGCCAAGTGCTACGCCCCCGACTTCGGATCCCGTCACTTTACCGCCTGCGCTTATCTCGGTTCTCTTGCCTCACATAAATAACAATGGACCTAGTGGAAGTGGGGGAATGACAATGGCAGCTCTGACGCAGAGAGTCCGATTACTGCAGGAGGAGAACGATCAACTGTACGATATTTTGAAGGAAGGGGAGACCGGACAATTGAAGGAGGAAGTTCAGACCTTGAGAAGACTCGTGGTTAAGCTTGAATCCGCTCTCAAAGGTGAGTACCAGTATCTTCAGTCTCCCTCACATTCTCACTGATATCCGTGGCTGCCCAAACTACCTTGCAGAATCACATCAAACAATCTCAAATATCT